TTAGTGAGTTTAATTTAATTAAATAAGAAAGTCTCATTAGTTATATAATGAGAAAAAAATCTATGAATATGACAATAAAAAGAAATAAATATATATATAATATATATAAATATATGACAATAAAAAGAATAAATAAATAGTTTGTAAAAATATGAAAGATTTTGTTTTAGCAACAGTATATAGAAGAAAATATATCAAATAATAGAGAATTCAAATTTTATAGAATAAGTATGAATATATAATTATAAGACATTTAGAAGATTAGACCAATAAAGCTAGTTATAAAATCAAGAAGAAAACAGATATTAGAATTTCGACAAAAAAAAGTAATAATATGAAATGACGAAATAATCAAATATTTGAAAAATATGATTAATAACAATATGATTAAGAATCTGAAATAATGATATAAAAAAATATGTAAATCATATCTATTAAGGAAACTTGAAGTGATGATTTCAAGAATATTGATTATTTGTTGAAATAATTTTGTCAAATAAAAAGTTTTAATTAATATCTTGTTATCCTATGATAATCATTATAAAAATGATATTTCGGATTTTATGGTATTATAAGCATTATAAGCAAGCAAAACTTATTAGAAGATTAAATCGTAGTTTAATAATAATTTGATATAGAATTTTATAAATGAAGAAAAAATATTTATTGCTATTAATTGGTAATTAATCTAAAAAATAAAAAATTGAATTAAAAAGTATAATGTATTTATAATAGATATTTAAAAAATAGAAAAATATATGCTTGAAAAATATATAAATAGAATAATATTGTACGAAAAATAAGATAAAATTGAAAAAATCATAATGTTCGATTTTTAATATTGAAATAATTACAATTTTGTTCAAATTTTAATATCTTTTTTTTTATTTTAATAAATAATATTTCATTTCAAACTTAATAGTAATATATAAGTAATAGTAATAAGTAATAAGTAATATATATCATAACAAGCATCATAAAATTATACTTCTTTTAAATCTTTTTAATTAAAATATAGTTTTAATTATTATATATTTTACAATTATCTTTTAATTAATATACATTTCAATCCAATCAAAATATAAAGATAATATATCATATAAAAAATAAAAAAACTATATTTTAATTATCAGAGATGTTTTAACCTTAAGTTTAATTTTTATTAAAAAAAATAGATTTTTTTATAGGAAATATCATTATAGAAAATATATTAAATAATGTATAAAAAATTATATAATTCCATTTAAAAAAATGAAATTATTTTTCATATGTTCTTCATGTAAGTTTAATTTATTTATAATTAATTAATTATCAATTTAACTTATCAATAATAAAAAATTAAGTTGACTAAATTATTTTCCTCTCAAAATAGAATAAGTTTCGTATGAAGCTTTTTTAAATAATCAATAATTCGAGAAAGTATTTAATGATTAAAATGGGATTATATATAATATATGTTATCTAAATATAGTAATATATCTTTTTATGAAATAAGGAATATTACGGAAAAAATATTTTTACAAAACTTCTTAAGTATATATAAAAAAAATAGAATATTATACTTGTAATAATTAAGATTCATCATTATTAAAAAAAATTGCATATAAAAATATAAATTTCATAAAAAGAAGTATCTTATATATAATATTAAATAGGATAGAAAATTAAGACACATAGATTTTAAAAATTATTTTTGTTATCATTTATCAATAATATCAATAATAATGAAACATTGTTATACATTAATGGCAATATTATATACAATCAATAGAATTGTAATAGAATTGATAAAAAATTTCATATATCTTACAAAAAACTTTTTCTAATCAAAAAATTTTAATGAAATTTTGTGAATATGTAAAACATATATTAAGAAATTATATAATAATATAATATATAGCGTATAATACAAGATATATATTTAATATACTTTTTAATATATGTATATAAATTATAATATACAAATATATCATTACAAATATACAAATATATTATTAAAATATTAATATTTTAATAATATTTTTTAAAATTATAAAATTATAAAATAAACAATTATTTATTTCATCTAATTGTCTGAAAATTCTTGATAGAGTACAATAATTTTTCAATATGAAAATATTACGTATCGAAATAAAAGAAAAATATATAGAAAATCTTTTGTAGCTAAGAAAAAAAATTATAAACTAATTAATGATATTCGATATGATAGTTTCCGAAGTGAAGAATTACACCATTTTAATTGAAATAAAAGATTGTTTATAATTTTGAAAATATTAATTTTTCAACATATTTATATATTTATTAGAATTTTTTTTCATTATTTAGCAAATATTATTTATAGAAATTATAAATTTTTTTTTTTATAACGAGAAATTTTCTTTAGAAATTAAAAGGGAATAAGATCAACGATGAAAATTTCAGATATTTAATAACTATGTAATATTGCATGGATTTTAAACAAATATAAAATTGACCATATTTTTATGATTTTTTTTGCATTAATTCTGGTTTATTAATTAAAAAATTGATTTCCGAATTGATATCTAATGCAATTTCATAAATATTCAATTAAATTTAAGACTGAAGATTAACTTAATTATTTACATAATTATATTACTATTTAATACTATTTTATACTTACATTTCGTTACGTTAAGAAAATATGTTTTAATTAATTTGAAAATAAGTGTTCTATATTTTAAAACATTATTTTTTTTTGAATAATAATAATCAATTTATCAGTAATTAAGGATTTTAAAATATTATTATATAAAAACTCATGATAAATAAATTCTAATTGTAGATTAGATAAATACATAAAAATTAATCTAAATATTTTATATGACAAAAATCTTATTTATCAGAATTGTTTAAATTCTATATAATCTGCAACAAAATGATAGAATATTTTATAATTTTTAATATTCTTCAAGACTAATGCAAAAAATAATAATTAAAAGAGATGAAATTTTATTGATAGATAAAAATATATATAATCACACAAGATTATATATATATATAATCACAAGATTATATATATATATATATAATCACAAGATTTTTTGCCGAAATATGTCGTTTTGAAGATATTCCATTGTTACTAATATAATTAAGAGTCTGTTGAAAACTATTTATAGATATCAAGATTATCTATTAAATATTTAACAGTGAGAACTTTTAAGACTAAGACAATTATATTAATTTTATCTATATTATGTATAGTACTAAAAAATTTTTATTAATATTTCAGAAATATTCGAAGCTAAAATTTTATATTTAAAGTGTTTTATTCTTCTATCACTCCTTTAAATTTAGTGTTATTCAATTATTGGAGTTTTTTTTCCAAATTTTTATATAAAGATTAAGATTTTAAGAATTTTAAAGAAATTAAATTATTGAAATGTTAAATCTTTATTTCGGATAATTAAATTCAAAAATTGAACACAAATCAATTTTATTTAACATTGAAATACAATCAGCTTCATATCGATATATTTATTTCTATTTTTGAGAAATGATATATAAATAGATTTAATAATTAATAATTAATATCCATCATATATATAAATATCTGTTAATAAAGAACTTTCTTTTTTATGTTATCTGAGTTAATTCTCAATTATAGATTTATGCTTACGTAATAATCAACAAATAAATTACAAAAAAAATTTCACATTATTATTTTCACATTATATTTTTTCTTTTACATACAAGGAATTTACACAACAATTCGAAATTCACTATAGACGTATGCTAAATGTAATATTTGTTTATTTACCGTGTTTATACGGTATATAACACTAAGAAATGGCGATCGCATACTATTGCACGTATTCTAAATGCATACTTATAAATTATAAAATTTAATGTAATAATATCGAAATATTATTTTTACGTTATTTTTTAAGAATAATTCGAAAATTCGGACTCGATTATTGATTATATGCAAAGGAAAAAGTTGTTAAAAATATTTTTTATAACATATAATAATAGACAAAAAATTCGTATATTTTTTAAAATGGAATAATTTTTTTAAAATTGAATCAAATAATTTAATTTTTTATTATTTTATTGTTGAATTTGATATTAATTTAATGAAATTTAATGAAATATTAATAAAAGAAAGATTAATTTACTAGATATATAAGAAAAATTTTTATAAATTGTTATTGTTTGGAATTGTGAAAAGAGGAAAGTAAAAACCATGATTTTTTTTTCTGAGTTTATAATGAAAATTTGTGAACATACTTTTATAGATCTATAAATTTAAAAACTTATATATATATATATATATACATAAAATTTTATCGAACTCGATCAACATTATTATGAGCTATAAATGATTAAAAATATCAAATATCACGATAAACTTTTCACTTTCGATTTATAATTGTAATAAATCTAAAAATTTGTTGATATTTTTTGATTTGTAATTTTTTTATATCAACTGATGAAATTTATTATATGAAATAAGTTGCAATAAAAATAACATCAATCTTCTCTTTAATAATTGTTATTGTAACTTCGATTATATGAAAATTATTTTATATTTCACTTTTGCATTTTTTAATGGATTCGAAAAATATCTAATTTTTTAATGGATAGATGTAAATGTCAATATTAGCTAATTCTTTTTATATTATGTTTATATTATGTATATATTTATTTATGAACAATTTATGAACAACAACTCGTATACTGAATATTACTTATTATATGAGATGTTTAAATAAAATTTTATGTAATAGTAACAATTCTTTTCGGCAAATATTTTGGAATTTATAAGAAATTACCGATTAAGTTATAAGAAAAAATTATTCTGAATGATATCCTTGACATGAATATATATATGAAGATCAAAATGATAGGAACAACCTTTCTACAATATATAATTAACCTATTATGAATATACGAATAATAGAATAGAATTAATAAATAAATAATAGATATGATTCAATAAGTGATATCACAAATATAAATTGTAAATATTGATGTTACAGAACTAGTGCTTGCGAGAGAATTAAACTCCAGGGTGGCGGGCTTCGTCAGTAGGAAGCGGCAAGTGTCGCGGAGCAGTAGCTAGTGAGAAGGAGAGAAACAACGAAGACGAAGAAGACGAAGACGCCGGGGAGTAAGTGTCGAAGGGTGGCGGCGGAAGTGACGGGCAGGAGGTGGTGGCGGAGGAGGGTGGTGGTGACCGTGGAAAAGACGACTCCTGCGACGTGAGTCGCGAGCCGTGATTGGTGGTGATAGTGACCACGAAAAGAGTAGAGTAACGGTTTTCTGGTCGACGAGGAAAAGAACAGAAGCTTGGTGGTGGCGTTTGTGAAGGCAACCTGTGGCAAGATGGGCTGCGCCATGTCCGCGGAAGAGCGGGCCGCACTGGCCCGTAGCAAACAGATCGAGAAAAATCTCAAGGAAGATGGTATTCAAGCCGCCAAGGACATCAAGTTGCTATTACTTGGTAAGTACATTTATTTTTGTATGTTTCTCATCATAGAATAAAATTCAATATTAATCGGAGAAAAGATAAGAAATTTTTATTATATATTGTGCGTTGATAATCCTTTATATATATCCTTATATTCGTATGATTTCCGCGATTTCATTTAACTTAATGCAATATTCATTAGCGAAAAATAATTTTCGAGAACAATTTATAGAAATTTATAAAAATTTTATTTTCAAATGGATTTGCATTCTAATATGTAATATTATAACATTATAAAATAATTTTTTAAATATTAAATAAAAATTGAAGATATATTTAATATTTTAATCAAATATCAAAATGTCGTGTATAATATTCATTAATCATTTCATAAATAGCATCTAGTTATTCTTTTCACATGGATATTGATTATAATTGCTGCTATGTTCACACTTTTGACACGGAGCAAAAAAAATATTCAAATCGTATTATAATATGATTCATAAATGTGAAATTGTATGTCTATTTGAAAGTTTTATTCAATTTATTAGAAATAATCAATTACATTCTCATTCTTTAAAAAAATTCTTCTAAATAACATGTATTATTATTATATTAAGTATTAAAGAAGTTGAATGTTACAAGTATGATATCATTAGCTAATATTTATATCATTATAATAATATATTTACTGTAAACATTTGCAAAACGATGTAAATATTAATAACAAACTCGATTAGGTTATACATTTGTACAATTGATTATAATTCGATTACAACTATTTGATTAAATAAAGTATTAAATAACTAAATATTTAATAATTAATTATTAAATTAAATAACTATTAGATATTCACTATATTTTAAAAAAATTGTATATTAACAGAAAAAGTAAATTTAAGTAAAATTAATTTTTATATTATTTCATTTTACATTGATAGTTTAATCATTTAAAAAAAAAAATTATATACATATATTAAGAATTATTTATGTTCAAACTATGCTTTCAAAGTGTAGACAAAATAAGATCAAGTAAAACATAGCAAAATTAATATAATGCAAAACACGTAATGTATTATATATAATGTTATAATATTACATGAGGAAATGATTTCTAAAGATAAAGAAAAAAAAAATATATAGATTTAGAAAGAAAAATTTTAATATAAAATTACGGATTGGAAAAATATAAAATTAAACATCGGATACAGTAGTGATACATCAACAAGAAAAAGAAAAATTAAAAAAATATTGAAAATGTAGGAAAAGAGAAAGAGATCAATAAAGACAAAGAAAGTAAAATAAAATTTAAAGGGTACATGAAGGAAAGAAATAAAGAAAAAGAATAAAAAAAAGAATAGAGAAAAAAATGAAAAAGAAAAAAATCAAAAATTAAATTATAAAATATAAAATGAAAAAATAACATTATGAAAAATTTAATAAAAAAGAAAACAAATAAGAACAAAAATTAGTATAATATGTTATATAATGATGTTAAAAGAAAATATAATAAAATAAAAGATATATAAGAAAAATAAAAAATAAAATAAATAATAAAGAATTTATAATAAAATAGCATTATAAATAGAGAAAAAAAATAAAATAATGATAGAATGAAAATAGAAAAAAAAACACAAGAAAAATCAGAAAAAAAAGAAATTAAAAAAGATATTTATATAGAAAATAATAGAAAATGCAATGAAAAAGTAGATAAAAATGCGAAAAAGAAAAGAAAAAAAAAATATTGTTATTAATCCTTTATAATCAACCCTTATAATCCTTAAAATCAAATGATTTTAATTATCTATCATCGAATATTTATTGTATTGTATGGTCACTTATTATCATTATTTATTATTTTATTATTATTATTATATTATCATGATTATAATCACTCATCATTATACGCATTAAGTATTACTATATACTGATGATTAAATCATTCGTTAAAATTTCTCATTCATTCTATCATGCATTTATTTATCATTCATATTAGAGATTAATAATAAGTTCATTAAGGAAAAAGTTTACAAACACAAAAAAGAGGGATATTAAGATAGAAAATGAAATATTTGAAAATAAATGGAAAGTTTAATTTTAAAAAAATATTGGAATAGACAAAGAAATAAGAAAGAAAAATAGAGTTATTTAATAAAATTCAAATAAAAAGAAAAAAAAGAAATAACAATGTTTAATATTCAACAATCATGATCAAATTAAAATTGATAAAAAAAAATTATTATAATGAACAAGAATAGAAAAAAAAATAACAAAAAAAAATAATAAATGTATTTAAAAAAACATGAAGGTAAATGGATTTAATAGAAGAAAATAAATATATAGAATGCATTTGTATAAGATAGCAAATAAGCAGATAGCAAAATAAAAAATATGAGAGAAAATAAATATATTATTTTAAAATATAGTTTAAAATTTTAATTAAAAATAAAGATTTCTGAATATATATAATATAATATAATATAATAATATATTATATGTATGTAATATATAATATATTATATGTATGTAATATATATAATTTATTATTATCTTGATAATATTCATATGTTGAACAGTTTTCAATTACATTCTTCAAATTGATTTTTTAAAAGATTTTATAAAAAATTATAAAAATTTATAAAAGAAAATTGAGCAAATTTTATCATCAAAAAAGAGTAATGAAAAAAGAAAACTTTGTTTCTCAAAATGGAAATTATAAATTATAAAATATATATATATATATTAAATTCTTTCATAATATAAATGTCATCTATATTCTCTATTTAAAGTTATGGTACAGATTTTATGAATTATTTTGAATAAGATATTTCTTTCTTAAATTTTATTCATCAATGAAGCTCTGGAAATTCATTCATTCAACTAAATCTAAATTTATATAATGTGTATTACTGTAATAATCCATATTGGTTGTATATCAGTAAAATATAATAAATAATCAATATGCAGAATTATTTGTAATAAAATAATTATTGTATTTTGTAGATGAAACTTTTATTAGAGAATGCTATGAATATTTTACATGAAATATGTTTATTAAAAAATATTGTTAAATAGTTATTAAATAATATAACTGTAACACAATGTTTAACATATAATGCTTAAAATGATCGTGAATTTTATTCACATCGATGAATAGACAATATTATACAATATAAGTCCTCGATTTCTTGATTTAATGCCATTGGATTTCTTTCTCTAAAAAATTCTAAAAAGAATTGTTTATCAAGAAATGCTAATTACGTCGGAAGACATGAAAGAACAAATTATTGCGGTATGTACAGAATAAATTCAGAGATAATAAAACGTGCATGTGATTTAATAATTCAAAGATTTTAACTTTGCTTCGTAACAAACGAATATTTTCTTTAAGATAAAAAAAATTATTTCATTGATAATTCTTTGTATTTCTTTCACATAAAAATAAAAATTCAACAACATTGATAAAAAATATACTAATGATTTTAAAATATCTTTAACGCATCATAATATAATATAAAAAATATTTACATTATATTATGTCATTATTCATACTAAAAATTGTATATGATATTTTTTCATGTTATTACATACAAAGATAATAAAGATATAAGTGAATGTACGTAGATAAAACTATAAGATAATATAAAGCATTCTACATATACATATATATATTGAAATATATATAATAAAAAAAGGAATGATAAAAAGAATGATCAAAATAAAAAATAAAATATATTAATTAAAAAAAAATGTAAAAAGATAGATTTAATATATATATAATAAAGAAGCACTATATTGAAAAAGAAAAAAAATATAGATGTTATACTGTAAGTATGAAAATATAAAAAAAATATGAATGTACTCTTGAATACATATGAATCAAATGTACTCTTAGATAATATATTATAATATATTAATAATATAAAAAATGTAAAAAGATGAATATAAATATAAAAGAATTAATAGAAAAACTGAATAAAATAAATTTAATGGTAAGCGTGCGAAATGCAAGTTATATCATTTCATAATTAATAATTATATATATAAATAACATATAATGGAAATAAAGTAATAGTATAAAAAAGAAAATCTAAAAATAAACAAATAAATAAAAAAAATATTATATAATTCGATTAATTCGATTTTAAATCTGACAGTAAATATATGTATATTGTCGACATTAAATAATTTATTTTTATTACCTATCATGAAATGAAAAAATTAAGAAAAAAATCTTTATTGGTCATGAAAGATAACATTTTATATATAAATTATCATTTCATAAAAATATTTGATTTATTCCTTGGAAGATGAATTTTCTGATTTCTTAATTATTAGATTATTTTTTTAATTTGAGTTTATATGACTTGTATTCAGATTATTTCAAAATCATTTAGAAGATATATTTCAAACATTGAACATATAAAACATTGACATATAAAAAAGACAAAACAAATTTATTGAATATAATAACTATTCTATTTTATTCTGATTATTTTAAGAAATAAAATAATATACAATTTCTTTATAAATAAAAAAAATTTTAATTTAAAAAAAACCTAATTATTTTATTATATCAATTATTAAAATATATTGCACATGAAACAAAAAACAGTAATATTCAAATTTTAAAAGATATATAATAAGTTCAATACAATTCAATATTAAAAAACAGAAAACTGATTCTTACACATAGATAAAAAAATTTGTATTTATTTACATTTAGAATATTTCGCACGTATATATATGTTTCTCAAGATATAATAAATAGTTTAATCTCGTGTAGCTTTATTCATATAGTCTATTCGTAAGAAGTATGAAATTTTATAGTTAGATTTGAAATTAATTAATACTTTTAAATTAGCAATATATTTCATTTTATTATTGATTTTTGAAATTTTTGTATTAATTTAATAAATTTTTAATAAAAAAAATTATAATCTGAGTTTTTTCCCATAAATCATCAATTTTTTAAACCATAGTCGCAAGAAATCAAATTAGAACCGCTCAATTTTCAACATTTTCAAGATTTTT